CTAGCATTGCAAAGAAGTTGAAAATATTCAATGCAGATCTCTTGGGGTGATGAGGAGGGGAATAGAAAATATCATTTACTTATGTGGGAGGAGGTGAAGAAACCGATGAGGGAGGGGGGTCTTGGTTTGAGGTCCATTAGAGCACTCAATGATCAATGATGCTCTTCATGGGAAGTGGTTGTGGAGATCTCTTATAGAGGAGGGGAGGCTGTCGAGGAAGGTTGTGCAAGCAAGGTGGGGAGATTGGGAAAATGAGAGGGATCGGAGGGGTGGATTCAAACCGCATGGGAGGAGTTTTTGGAAGAAAATTAGGGATGACAGCCATTTATTCAAGGGCTGTGTGGGGTGGCAGCTTGGTAATGGTGAGGATATTAGGTTTTGGGAGGATGAATGGATGGAAAGTTTTAAACTTAAAGAATGGTTTACCAGAATTTTTTATATTGCTAGCGATAAGGAGGCAAGGGTGAAGGACATGTATGAAAATGTGGGTGAGGGGAAGGCATGGAATGTGAAAGTTACAAGAAACTTGCAGGACTGGGAAATCAATGACTATTGCAATCTGCTTTTGGGTTTGGGCAGCATGAAGGTGAAGGAAATAAGGGACAAAAGAGTCTGGAAGCCTGATGAGAAAAATGGTTTTTCTGTGAAATCGATGTACAATTTTCTATTCATAAATGATAGAAATGATATCATTTCAGCACCCTTTAAACACATTTGGAAAACTGGGGCCCCTCCTAGGATGACTTTTTTTACTTAGGAAGCCGCTAAGGAATGCGTTTTGGCTATTGATATGCTTAAAAGAAGAGGTAATACCATGATTAACAGATGCTACCTTTGCAAATCTGAAGAGGAGACATGCAACCATCGACTTTTGTGGTGCCCGTCGACCTACAGCATCTGGAATACTATCTCGTGTTTGCTGTGTTTAAGTTGAGTAATGACTGAAAAGGTGAGTAAAGAGTTGTGAGCTTGGACATGTTATTGTAAGAAGAAAAAACATTTGTTCCTTATTGCACTAACTATTTTTTGGATTGCGTGGAATGAAGGAAATACGAGAGTTTTTTAGGGCATTGAGACTAACATTACAAATATTAAAAATATAGATCTATACTTTTGATTCTATTTTATTAAATCATAACATCAAAGATTGGGATGATTTTAGGTGAGTCATGGACCACTTAATTAACTTGTAACTATGCTTTGTACGTAGGCGGTACTCCCTTGGTACCTTTGTGCATAATATTATATTTCAAAAAATATATATATATTTACTCTTAGATGAACATGTGTAGTTGTTGGGAGTACGAATTTAGGTTAAAAAAATGATTAAATTTTAATTTTATTCTCTTCCATTTGGATAGAGCAAATTTACTGATGTCAGAAATTTGCTCCGGCTTTTGTGGTAGATTAATATTTTTATCTTTAGTTGACTTACTACGACCAATTCAAGGACATGCTAAATTACCTTAGTGACTAAGATTGGCAATCTGCAATACCATTCCATGATTGCTTTTGTTTTTTTAACTGTAAGCTCTTCATAAATGTTTTCTGTTGTTTACAATGTATGATTATATGAATCTATGATTATATGAATCTGTTTCAGGAAATAAGAGATCCCGAGACAAAGGCAACAGCAGAGGTTTAGTAAAAGTCTGGCAATGAATCAGCTTCTGATCATAGGGAATCCTTTTTGAGGTGCAAACCTTGTTCCGATGATCCAAATACAAAATGTGTTGGTTTTGAGCTCTCTTACTCTGGTTTTTCCTTTGAAGACATACAGAGCATGAAATACATGACAATGATATTGTAGGGCATCTTAGGTATAACTGCTTGGTGATTTTTATCAACTGCATGGGACAATAGTTTACCGATGCTTTCTGCATTTTTTTGCTACTATCTAATTCTTTTTAATTTCATTCGTTCTTTTTTTCTATAGGCATTATGGTATTGATATGAAATTACTCCTTTAAAGGGAAATTGACAAAAAAGTTCTCTAAACTTAGTTAGATAAAAAACAAAAAGGTCCATATTCTAACATAAAACAAATTATTCTGTATTAAATTTCTTTCATAATTTTGGTTCTATCAATTTGGTGCTAAAATGTTTTAGCAACATATGATTTTCTATCATTTTAATGTAGCTCCAAGCAATCCCACAGCTTCAACTCTCATTTTGAAGTATAATTTTTTTCAAAGAACAAAAGTAGTTGTTAGTACTAAAGTTGTGACTAATTTCAAATAAATTGTAGATAGAGTTTAGAAAAAGAGAGTGCTGTTTAATGATTTCTTGGTCCTATGTTTTTGTTTATTCATGTCAAATTTATGATAAACTGGACAGCTTTTTCAATTTGATTTTTTTTCCTCTAGGAAAGAGGATGAAAATCTCATTCATACCAAGTTTAGCAGAATTCTTGGTCAATCTCCTTGTTTTTGTAGTTGGCCATTTAATATAAGAACGTGACATGTAAGTCTTTTTGCGGCCTAACCTGTCCTTAGAACCATATTTTATTTATTCTTCACAGAAATATAGATCTAATGCATTCTTCAGTATGTCTAATCATCTTAAGGAAATTGACAGGTTGGTTGCGGTTGAAAATTCTTTTTGTGAAATAGTTGATTGTTATCCGTCTAACTTATGACCATAAGAGGATAGCTAGATTACGTATGGGGATTCGGTTCTTGCAGATGGCCTTCTGGTCCCATGGACGAAAATGGGCGTGTAGAGAAAAGTTTTTAGAGAAAGGATTATCGATGACCCAGTTTCCACTGCCAGCACCAAGATTTGCAGGATAGCAGGCTGAGAGCCGTGACAAGAGATACCCTGTGACCATGGTAGGAAAGATCCCCATGAACATCTTTACTCTTATTGCATTCCTTGACGTCTCCCTTATTCCTGTTTTGGCTGAATAATGCAATAAATGTTACTTCTATATATCCTTTTTCAGAGTTGTATTATAATCTGTGCACGCCACCTGTTTGAACAGCAAACAAGAGAAGGTAGCAA